TTTAGTGTTTAAACATGATAATACACAGAGGCTGGCGTCACTGGAGCAGTTCTGTTGCCTCTGGTGTAAATTGAAAGTTTTAAAAGTACACACGTATGTACCTCTGCCTATGTTATGTGCTGCTCACGCTCATGGTCTAAATTCCGGGTAACTGTTCCCCATCTAAGACTTGCCGTGGCTCTTATATTTACTCAATTTCTTTGCGACTGCTTAAATTAGTAGCACTCTGGCATTTTCGATTTGTAAAGGAGCTCACCGAAGGAAAAAGGTTGTAGACCTCTGCGTTAGAATCATGAGCTTCATTTGAGTGAAGTCGAACACTATGGGAGACATCGCACTCTCTTAGTCCACGTCTTTATACAGTCAATGTTGAAAATACAACAGGAGCAGGTTCATTACAGATGGTAGATTTAAACCAAGACTATCCATGATTTCTCTCAAAGCATTTCCTAAAAATGTATTATTCTTTTGTTTTAATTCTCCTGCTAAAATAAAAAAAAAATAGAATATGATTTTCCCAAAAGTCTTTCAAATCTCACTAGTGGAGGGCATCACATCTGCTACATATTCACTTCCACCTCCTCCATTCTCAAACTCTTTTATCTAAAAATAACCAATGAAATTTTGCTTTTCTCAAAGTCAACCCCAACTTTCCAATCCAACTTTTTAAAAACAACCGACATTTTTGAAAAGCGTGTGGATCTGGGTCATTCACTTGTTTATGCTAGGACCCTGTACAAAACAATCTCGCTGAATACAAAATCCGCTTTCTATGAATAACAAAACAGCCGCGTCTCTCTCCGCCCTGTAAAAGATGAACTGCGTTGTGGGCTTCCATTCACCGGCCGCTCGTAGAATTTGACTTCATTCTCCTTCGCCTTGTGTTCGAGCCAATGTGGAATCAAATTGTTCAGCGTGGCTCGGGCTGCTCCGGCTCGTTCATTCCGATTGCTCTGTTCTGCTTCACCGAGGGGCATGATTATTCTCAATGAAAACTTGCATCCCAAACAGAAAAGCCAAAAAAGGACTGTGCAAAGATGTTCAATAAATAGGTTGTGTTCACTTCGTTTAAGGTGCACTATGTAACCTGCATGTGCCCATAGAGATGTCATTGTTTCCGTCTCCATGGAGATGCTGCTGCGTCTTTAAAGGTCCCATACTACACAAAATTGACTCTTGTGACTTTTAAGACATGTACTGTATTTTTCAGACTATAAGTCGCACTTTTTTTCATGGTTTGGGGATTCCTGTGACTTACTCCAGTGCAACTTATATATTAAAATTTTCACACTGAGAGCCGACAGAGGGCGCTATTACTCCTGTACCACTGAGAAGAGAGAACACAAATGAAAATCACATTTTGCAGATTACAAGATGTAAGTAGTGAAATATGCAGCCAAAAACAGTAATCTAGCAGTAGAAAGAAAGTTTGGAGTGAGCAAGAAACTTGTGACACTGGGAGGGTGCACCATGCAACTTTCCTAGAAGACACTGGACGGATGGACAAAGCCTGGACTTCAGTGACACCGAAACCATCCTGTCGGGATTCAGAAAGGCAGGAATTATTCTAACTGCAACTGATGCTGAGTCTGACGACAGCTACACAGAAGAGGAAGTGGCACTCTGTTTACCTCCAGAGGTCGCAGAATAGCTCAGAAGTGACACAGAGGATGAAGAATTCAATGGATTTAGTGATCTGGAGTGAGATGGAGAGTTTGGTAAACTTGTTCTGTTGTTTATGCTATAATTATCTGAAGAACTGTTCATATGTGACATTAAGAGCCTGTTGTTCTCTCTTCTATTATTAGAATTATTATTACTAGAACTTGCCTTTCAACATGAAATGTCGGTTCCTGGTCCCTGATTTTATAAAATAAATTTCCCCCAAAAAGTGCGACTTTATAGTCTTATAGTCTGAAAAATACGGTATGTTTGTGATGAGGAAAACATTATAACATAGCTCAAAAAATTATGTAATATGGGCCCTTTAAACATATCTCTCTTTTTTCACCTCTCCAGAGATCTGACCTCTAACTTCGCCTGCTCGTACCACTTGCTTGTCTCCATGGAGACAGACATGCTCGATGCAGTTCCAAGCAAAGCAATTAAGCACCAAAATCACAACAAATACAAGCAGGTGGTGAATGATTTGATATGGTTTATGGATAAAATCAATGTAATCAGAGCGCCTTTTCAAAATTTGAGAGCCAAGAATATTAAAATTCAATTAAAAAGTTCAAAATGAGTGTGTGTGTGTGTGTTTTTTTCCTCTTATCAACCCTTCCTTCAGTGTGAAATTTTAAGTATTGTAAGGTTCTCTAAGGTGGACGAAAAGGTAAATGAAACATTCCTCATATATTTCAAAGCTTCATTACAAAAGACCCTTTGGCAAGACACTCAAAATGGCTGACGGTTCATTTTGGCTGCTACGGATCAGATCCATTTCTCACACTGGAAGCAAAAGATGTCTCTACTTAGTTCAAAAGTCATGTGATGTAATGTATTTTGACAATAGTAATCTTGATTTGAGCTTTTATTAGTTTAGAATTATTTAAAAATTTAAGTTAAATTACTGAGTTTGAATTATTATAACAAAGCAGGTAGAATGTAGTTTGGAAAAGACTAAAAATCAAGCGATAATTTTGCTTGTGAACCAGAAAAAAGACCTTAAAGAGGGGACATTACACTTCTGTGGGGTATTCGTAGCTAAAACAAAACATATTTAGAGCGTCGTAGTGTTCTTATAGCACTCTGAGTCCCTCCTCCCCTTGCTCTCTGCTCCAAGTCACTCCCCCTTCAGAGCGCAAATGAAACTACTGCACATCGCATCAGGTTCGTGGAGCTGTAGCGTGATGTTTTGTACCTTGCTTTTGTATATTTACAGAAAACTGGATGACGACTTGTGGGTTGAACACTGGACAAGATTTTACTGCACTGCAAATTTCTCTGATGTGGCCAAGATTTTAAAACTTATCTTGCTTTCTGATTTATTATCTACGTACTAGTTCAGGGATTGCTTAATTCTAGTCTAGAGGTAGTTTATTTTAAGATAACTTGTCAAGAAAATGATCTTGCTGCATAGACAGATCATTTCACTACTTTTAAGTCATTTTCTGATTTAAGTGTTTAGATCTTAAAGGGACAGTCCAGAATTTTGGACACAGGACCTCATTTTCTAGTGAGCCAGAGTATTGGAGATGTGTGGAGGCACTTTTTTAAATATTCCATCCAGTTCTTGTACTTGCAGAGGTCACTGGTGCTAGGCTAGTGCATGTCAATGGCCACAGTTAGCCTGCCATTAAAAACAGTCTTACCCACTCCACAAAACACCTGAAGCAAATATATTATACACCAACCCATCGATGTAAATGTCTTTGTCAATAGAATAATTTTAGAAGTAAAACCAACCTTGCATTTGTTGTTCAGCAAGTTGGTCTTCCTGATAGAAACCTTGGCAGTGGCGGACTGATATATGAGAAAATAGTCCCTCAACATTCAACAATTCATGTGATGCAAGGTTAGTTTTATATCAAACATTATTCTATCAACACAGACATTTACACTGACAGTCTGCCGTAATAATAGATTTGCTTCAGGTGTTTTGTGGAGTGGGTAAGATTGTTTTTAGTGGCAGGCGACGGAACAATGTTATAACATGGGAGAAAGCTTAAAAAACACGCATAATATCCCCTCTTTAAAACATTTCAAGTTATCAGACCTACTGAGATGGTGTGACTTTAATCTCTGTCGTTTTATATTTACATCATATATTTTGTTTTCGCAGAGTCTGTTTTTATATCGATCTATCTTCTAGTCTTCTTTGTGGTTTTCCATTCGTAACATTCAACAGTTTATGTCCGCACCTCCAGAAGATGGGAAGCACAAGCGGGGTTTGTCCATAGGGTGCAGGGGGCTGGGTGAAGGGCGACGGGATTCAGTTCTTGGGTGCTGGGGTGTAGGGTTGCTAGGCGAGAAGCTTCAGTTCTTGGGTGTTGAGTAAAATTCTTGGGTGCTAGAGTGTAAGGTGCAGTTCTTGGGACTGAGGGTGCAGGGTGTTTGGCTGAGAGGAGTTTGTTTTTGGGTGCTGTGGTTTGGGGTGGCTGGGCGAGGGGGTCCTGGGTGCTAGGGTGTAGGGAGGCTGGGTGTAATGGTTCAGTTCTTGGGTGAGAGGGTGGAGTTTGCCAGGCTGAAGGGTGCAGGTCTAAGGTGCTAGGGTGTAGGATACCACGGTTAAAGAAGTGCAGGTCTTGGGTGCTAGGGTGTAGGATGCCGCGGTCAAAGGGTGCAGATCTTGAGTACTAGGGTGTAGGATGCCGCAGTCAAAGGGTGCAGGTCTTTGGTACTAGGGTGTAGGATGCCACGGTCAAAGGGTGCAGGTCTTTGGTACTAGGGTGTAGGATGCCACGGTCAAAGGGTGCAGGTCTTGGGTACTAGGGTGTAGGATGCCGCAGTCAAAGGGTGCAGGTCATGGGTGCTATGGTGTAGTATGCCATGGTTAAAGGGGTGCAGATCTTGGGTGCTAGGGTGTAGGATGCCGCAGTCAAAGGGTGCAGGTCTTGGGTACTAGGGTGTAGGATGCCGCGGTCAAAGGGTGCAGATCTTGGGTACTAGGGTGTAGGATGCCGCAGTCAAAGGGTGCAGGTCATGGGTGCTATGGTGTAGTATGCCATGGTTAAAGGGGTGCAGATCTTGGGTGCTGAGTGTAGGATTCCACGGTTAAATGGGTGCAGGTCTTGGGTGCTAGGGTGTAGGATGCCGCAGTCAAAGGGTGCAGGTCTTGGGTGCTAGGGTGTAGAGTCTCTGGGTGAGAGGGTGCAGTTCCTGGGTGCTCGAGTGTAGTTTGCCGAGATGAGATGGTTTAGGTCTTGGGTGCTAGGGTACAGAGTGTATGGGTGAAAGGGTTCAGTTCTTGGGTGCTGAGGTAATGGGTGCTAGGTAAGATGGTCTAGGGTGTGAGTGCGCAGTTCGTGGGTGGTCAGGTGCAGGGTTTCTGAGAGAGTTTAGTGTCTGGGGAAGGGGCTCATCTGGATGTTGTCCACCTGCAGGGTTGGGTTGTAGTAGGCCGCTTTGCCGAAGTTTAGGTCCAGAGGCTCATTGTTGTCCAGACGCAGAACTAAAGGCAAAAAAGTAACACATATTTAGATTGTGTATAGTACAAAAACACTGCAACATGACTTAATAGCTGAGTTTGATTTACTATAATTTTTGTGTAATTGATCTTAAAATGTAAAATTCAATCATAAAAAAGTTGTTAATAATAAAAAGACAGAGCATAGTTAATAATTTTGACCTATTAGACCTAGATATGTTTTTGTGGCTGGGTTCACTTTTTTTCTGATCTCAAATACAATTATTAACCCCTTTTTTGTTATTTGAATAGTACAGTTGTGTTTGTTTTATGGTCATATTTTGTTAGAAGAAATGTGGCCTTTTATGTGACAAAAATCATTATGGCACCAAGGCAATAAATTAGCCCTTCGCCCTCACAGCATAACTGTCTGAGTCTTTTTTTTTTTTTTAAATCACATGGGCTCTATTCACATCACAAATCCCGAAGACTTTTGGAAATTTTTGGAAATGTTTGGATGGTGACTTCCGGCAGGTTCTGTAGGCGATAGTAATAATCTGAGAAAACTGAGAAAATGGCCCAGTTTTCCTCATTTAGATGTCATTGTATTCTTTTTTTCCCCCTTTTATAAATTGCCGATTAACTTGTTAATTGATTCATTTCCAAATGTCTTCAGGTAAGCGTGATTAGAGCCTACTGAGTTTTCTGTTCTGTTCTACTTTCCAGACCCTGCTGCGTCGTTAAGGTCCAATCCCATTTCTAATTCCGACCCCTACCCCTTCCCCTTTGAAACTGAGCATCAAGGGGTAGGGGCTGAAAGTAAACCCCTATGAATTGCGACAGCCCTTCAGCAATCACATACGTCATCAGTAGTCTTCACCAGCTTTTACATAAGCAGATGTGACAAGCTTTTGCCATTCCGCCAGTGATTCGCAAGGCCTCCTGGGAAATCGCTCATACCCCTCCATTTGGAGTGTGCCTCTGAAAAATCTTCGTTTGGAGCGGTATATAGCCCTACCACTTTCCCCTGCCCCTCTGCCATAACGGTAACTGGGACACCCGTACCCCTACAGTGTCTTTGGCTCCATCCTTGGCCAATCACAACCATTTTTACACCCCAGAAGACACAAACCACCCTAGTTTGAACTCATCTAATTGACATAAGCAGTTTATGTTTGTATTTTCCTGAAAACTTTGTAAACGTGACTTATGGCGAATGCTAGAAGGCTTACAGCATTAGGCAAATTTTAGTCTGGAGAATTATAATACCAGAGCATGTTTTTCTTTTCACATTCATGTTTTTTTGTGTGTGTGTGTGTGTGTGTGTATGTGGGGGGGATTAATAATTTATTGTTCTTTTCTTCAAGTGTTTAAAATGTCAGGATGATAATTTTCTTTAACATAACACAAACACACACAGAAAAGACAAGATGGGCGAACTAAAAAATCATATGAAAAATAAAAAAATAATAAAAAAATAACACATTCACATTCAGAATTACCCAGGTCAGGAGTACCTAGCTGGAGGACAAGGCTATCTGTCCATATTAGAGACTGATGGGGGAAAACTGGGGCATTTGGGTAAACTTAACCAAAAGCGTCACTCCTCGTGTTTGTGGCAGGTCTTATTTCCCGAGACTTGTGGCTAAAAATGAATGACATTCTGTAAATGACAATTGATTTGTGTAATATTCATAGCTGCAGCAAACGCAAATGCCAGGTAGAAGCATTAGCATTTTCCAAATACCATCTTAAATCGGCATCTGACATTTTCCAACACAACCTGGTTTTTCTCTGTTTCAAAATTCTATCTAACACTGTGTAACTTCAGACACTTCCCAAGATTAAAGAGCTGACGTGATCTCGCTGTGTCCTCTGACATTTCACTTCATTTCACACTTGAATTTACTCCCACTGAGGATTCATTCAATTAAAGTGGAACTAAACACTAAATCCACTTTGTATATGGTGTTTTAATAGCATTATCTACTGCTCCTAGTCATTTTATGGAAACTTTACTGTAAACTAGGTCAATTTTCTGTTCATAAATGCCTATATATGTATTCGTAAATGTGTTCTCTCTACAGTGGCCTCTGAAATCTCCAGTAGTAGGTGACATCACAAAAGACTGAACTGATTATAGCCGAGTGTTTCTGATTACAAACAACTGGCTGTGGGGGCGGAGTTTGGTGTGTGTTAGACAAATCCGCCCTCTTCACTCTTTTTTTCTTTACTCATTACACAGCAAAAACTGGAGGGTTAAAATATCAAGGTGGTGGCAGCTCAGTTGGTAGAGCATTCGCCCACTGATCTGAAGGTTGGCGGTTCGAATCTGGCTCTCAACATAAACATCACAGGTTGAGTGGTCAGATCCACTGACAGGTTGGCTAGTGTGATTCTAGCTCCCACAGATGAATGCTGCTGTTGTGTCCTGGGGCAAGACACTTAACCCACCTTGCCCACAGTGTCTGTACACTGGTGTGTGAATGGGTGAGTGGTTCCTTGTTGTAAAGTGCTTTGAGTGCCTTGAAGGTGGAAAAGCACTATAGAAAAATGTGACCATTTACTATTTCAGAGTTGTTTTTAACACAAAAAGTATTATTTTAATTATTTGAAAGTTAAATGGAGGTTCGAGTTGGGGACAGTGTCCATTCAACTTCCCTTAGTGTTAATTCAACTTCCTCTAGTGTTAATTCAACTTTCCCCAGTTTTAATTCAACTTCCCCTAGTGCTCATTCAACTTCCCTTAGTGTTAATTTGGCTCCTCCCACCCACCACTTCAAACTCCTGTGAGAGGAAGACCAGTCTGAACCAGTTTTGTACATAATTTCATTTAAATTAACTAAAATAAAGAGTAAAAATAAAACACCTCTGTGTGTTGTTTGGCTAAATAATAATAAAAGAATAACTCTACAAAGTGTTATCCGTGTACTCTCAAAACATTAATATAACTCTTGATTTTGAGGTTAAATTGTGGTCCAGTGTTACTTATTTCATTTTATTCAACATTTCCAAAAGTGTTAAATCAACTCTAGAAGAGTCTGGACTTGTACAAACCCTGAGAAAATGTTAAAATTGATTCTGTGTGAGTCAACTTTAACACTTTTATCAACTTTTTGCTGTGTAGGGTACAGTGTTTATGTGTTTAGTCCTGTTAAGAATCATTTTCTTGGCATTCAGTTGTGCTTATTATCTGTGGTCTGAGACGAGTACAAAGCAACTGAGAAGAGGTTACTTACAACAACACTGCTACTGTATTTATTTTTATTTTTTTTATTCTCGGATTCACTATCATTAAAGTTGGGGAGAAAGGACCTGCTGAAATGGCGTTTTAGTAGAATGGCTGATTTCCACAATAACTGAAACTGATAAGAAGGCAAATTGTTTCTTTGGCCAAAAGTTTCTTTGCCGTAATTAGTTTTTATTTTGTGACCTCAGCTCTTGTTAACACTGTATATTTGTAATTATAGACTTAACTGTCTCCATCTGACCTTTGTTTCAACGAGTGGTTGTGTAACCTGCAAATATCTGTTGAGCAGGAGGAGAGAGCTGTGGAATTGTATATTGTAACATAATGGCAAAGTTTCATTACATTTTCCACATTCCAAACAAGGAATGTCTAGAGCAGGGGCATCCAAACTTTTTTCATCAAGTTCATTCATGTTCATTATTGTGAATAATTGAAATATGTGCATGTTTAACACGTTTAGCATGAATAAATACTGATGGCTCATGCTAAGATCCTTAAAACCACACACTAAATATTAAATATTCACTATATCAAGGTAGATTTTCCAGAAGCTTGCAGTAAGAGGTTAATTTTTAAATGATATAAGTTAATTAGGCCAATTCACCTGGAAGCCTGAGGGCCAAGAAAAATTTGTCTGAGGGCCGCATTTGGCCCACGGGTTTGCAGTTTGGACATGCCTGGTTTAGAGTAAGTTAAAATCTCATATATTTTGACAAAAGTATTCTTGATTTGAGTTTCGAACTGCACATATACATTTTTTAAACCTAATTATTGAGTTTGAAATATAAGAATCCCAGTAGAATGTGGCTTATAATGGAGGAAAAACAGAGGTTGTGATTATATCAGGACTTTTAAATCAAAGTCAGAGTTACTTTAAGATGAATGTGTTTTAAATGAGAGATGAAAGACGGAGGATCGAGGAGAAGGAAGCGAGGAAAGAGAAATGAGATGGATAGAGAGAACCCACAGGACCACACACAGGACAGGAACTCAGAACCTTTTTACAGTTGTAGATAAAGTAGAATTGATCAGGTAGGGTCATCAGATTTGTGTCAGGGCAGTTTGAAGATAGTAACATCCCTCTGGACAAAAGCCTCCTCTGTGTTCTGGTGATGAGAGTTACCTGGATCGGAAGGGAACTCCTCCTGCAGTTTGCGGTGTGAGAAGGCCTTGTGGTGCTTCTTCTTCAGGATGACGTAGGCCACCAGACCCACAACGGCTATGGCCACGAAGGTCCCCAACACGGCCCCCCAGGCGCTCTTCCTCCTCCGCTTCTCCGAGTCGGACGCAAAACCTGCACAAAAGACAAAGTTGAGGTGATTAGAACCTTTTTGACAAGTTTAGATCTACTTACTTTGTTGATAAGCCTAATGTTTATCTTGATGCAATGCTAACTGAAGCCACTGCACTGTCTGATGCTCTTTTACTTAAGTTTTAAGTCACATATTAGCTGTTTTTGTTTGTTTTTTTTTTGCTCCTGAAAATTGTTCTGATTAAATAAATCTTATATTTGAGTATTCAGATCATAACCATTTTTTACAATCTTTGCTATTGTGTGCATTGTGTCTCCATGGTAACCACTGAACATTCAGCCATAGACATACATTCAGTAGCCCCTAAGCATGATGTCACTGCAAAGTATCAATTGTGTTTGAATTAAAATGTCTGGCAGTAGAAGGAATGTGTAATATGTTTGTTATTATTAGTGTGCAAAAATATTGAAATATCGATATATATAGTATTGTTTAATGCGATGATACAGTATCGAAATTGTGGGCTGCTGTATCGATATAGAGTATTATTTGGTAGATTTTACTAAATTATTTTGTTACAGTGCTACAGTTTTGTTGCTTGTTTAGTGAAAGGAAACTCTTTTATGCAACACATTTGACATTTTCACTGTTTTGAGAATTTAAAATTTTTGTGTTTCATATGGACTTTGCACAAGAAGACTTTAAGTATAGCAGCCATGATTTAGCCTTTATTTTTTATTGAACTGTATTGAATCAATTTGAAATATATCGTATCGAATCGAAACCTCACTGTGTTGAGATATGTATCGTCTCATGGACTATGTATCGTAACGGCAACTTCTTAATGATACCAAGCCCTAGTTATTATATCTTATACAGTATATTTGGTTTTATTGATACATTTCAGTGACATCTTTCTGGGGGTGTTCTACATGTATCTCTAATGGTGGAATATTAAGTCAGCTCTTTCTGAACAAATTGCATTAAAATAAAGCACAGGTTTCAGCCTAATGGAGCCTCAAATATATCAGAAGGAGTTTATTATTGCGTACATATGTGTTGTCTAAAGTTAGCAGACTGAACTTAAATCCCTGACCATAGTGACAAAGCTCCTCTGCATAATGAACCGAGCCGAACGTTCCCTTCATCTGCTTGATTTGGGGCTAATTGTAGAATAATGATGGCAGAAATGTGAGGTGTTTTGAACAGGCTTCAGGGGTAAGGCTCAGATAAACAGGCTCATTCAGACGTGGGCTTTACTCAGATAATGAATGCTATTACGGCGATGTCTGTGGAATAGGTCCAAATGTTCAGCAGACACAGATGTGTTTATCCCTGTTTAACCTCGTCACATCGCGCTAATTGGAACTTTAACCATGCAGCATCTCATTATACACATCCATAAACAAACATGTACAAAATGCTAATGTCTGCTCATTTATTCAACGCTAATGGTACGCTTATTAAATTAAATGTAATGGACTTGTTAATTTTTTAATAAAAAACCTGGATAACACATTAACTAAATGTTTGTCCTCAATATTAAAATGCTCAGTTGATTTACCACGACTTATTTTATCATAAAAGATGCACTGTGTCAAATCCACTTGGTTGTCTTGAACTGATTGCTTTGCTTAAAATTAGTGTCATTCCGATACCTTTTTTTTTTTTTTTTAGATCCAATCCGATCCAATGCCTTGGTGTACTTGGCAATACCGATACCTCTCTAATACTGCATAGTGGGAGGTATAGTTACAGTACAAGAGCAAAAACTAAATCTTTTAAAAGGTTATTTTTAAAGAAAAGTTGCAAGAACTCAATTATTAGTTACTGTAAATGTATAATGGTCTTGACTAGGGCTGGGTATCATTAAGAGGTTGCACACCCCTCTTCTTGACCATAAGTAGTGCTGACTTAAATACTTTTACTTTTCTAATTTGTTACTTTCTACCAGAGTGCACATGGCTAACTATGCAGAGTAAACAAAGTCCGGGTTAGTGCTGTTTTCAGTCCTAGTTAGTGCACTCTCTGTAGCTTTAGTTATTTTTTTAAATTCGATGTCCACACCAAAGACTTAATGAAGGTATCAAAGAGTTAACTCAAATATCTTTTCTGTTATTAGTGTGTTTTAGACTTAGACTTAGACAAACTTTGATCCACAAGGGAAATTATTTGGACACAGTTGCTCACACATCACAATATGATATAATAACAAAGAGGAAAAAATATAAATGGTAATAATAAAATCTAAATAGGTAGCAAAAAAGATAGCAAGAGAATGGTGTCAAAAAAGGCATAATTATATAAATGTATATAAACAAGTCAAAATAAAATAGAAAAATAAGTAATAAAATATCAAATTTAACCGCAGACGTCAACAGCGGCTGCTCGCATCTACAGATTCTCATTCAGGAAAATACACATTGGTATCGGATCGATGGTTTGGTCTGAGTACTTGCCGATACCAATTCTTGAAAAATGTGCAGTATCGGAGCTTTTGCCAATACCAGTATCGGTATCGGAACAACCCTACTTGAAATATTCTACTTGCTCAGAATGTTCCACAGTATGGCATTAAATATATCACCATGGATACAAGCGTGATATGTTTTTGAAAGTATGATAAAGACGTTTTGCCTGAGATCCAGAATACACTTTTCCAAAACTTTACTTTTAAGATGTGAGTCTGGTCACCTGTGAATCTCCCAAAGTTCAGATGGGCGTGATTGACAGCTGATTTAGCCAATCAGGGACACACATGATCAATTTGGATCAAAACAAACATGAGGAATATGCTTACGAGGAAAATAGAAAGGAGAAAATATCGCATGAAACTGGAAAAACATGGGCTGCGTCTCTTTTCTCTTTCCTTGCTTCCTTCTCCTTTATTCCTCACCTCGGATTTTGTAAGAAAAGGGTGAAGAAATCCCACCCACAGAGGAAACACAGCGAAAGAGGATATAAACTCAATAAATAAAGTTTTCTTCTTTTATGTGACGTCTGCCTCCTGAAGCTTCCCTCGTGTTTACTCCTTCCTTCCGTGGTTTCCTTCGAGACAGCGCTTAATATGACACATTTGATTGACAGTTGAAAAATGGAGGATCAAGGAGAGGAAGCGAGGAGAAGGAAGCGAGGAAAGAGAAATGAGACGTGGCCATGGCGGGTTGAGCGAAGCACTAAACCCTCATATGATTTTGCTCTAAATGGGACGTGACCAATGACCTCCTTTGTTTCACATGCGTCACTGAAAAAAAAACGATTGCACCGATCTGTCTGAATCTGTCTCAGGGCGCTACAGAAAAAGTGGTGACCAGACTGATATAAATCTGTAAAAAAAAAATACACAGATAGCATTCTGGCCTGACAAAAAGAAGACAGAAAATGGCACACACACTACAAAAACTGAGATACAAAAAAGTGCTCACACCAATTATCTTGTCAAACAGTGAGTTGGAGTGCAGAGACTTGTTATTGAAAGTACCATTGTAAGATATATCAGCAGGTGGTGGCAAACACAGCTGTGAATAGACAGAGAGCACGGAGCCTTTGAACGCTCCGTCTTCTTCAGCATATCACATAAACAGTAGAATTTTTGCTGCTGTGGTTGGAACAGGTCGACTCATTTCACTAAAACACAGTTAACTTGATTATACTTAAGTTTTAGCGAAAAAACTGCCCAGTTTTTCCTAGATTGACAAATTTACTGAAGTCTACACAGTCGTCCCTCACTATAACGCGGTTCACCTTTTGCGGCCTCGCTGTTTCGCAAATTTTTTAGTGCAGTTTTTCATGTTTTTTTTTCACATTGTATGAACGTGCATTGTGCTCCTCCCCCCGTGTCCTGATTGGCTAAGGGACTGTAGACCATTGTCAATCAATCTCCTCTGTGCTGTGTCTAAGAATGCGCTTGACAAATTTACATAAATGCTGGATCTCTAGCAGTGTGATTCTGAAGTGCTGTATGTTTGCAAGTTTCCTCCCCGACAAAACCCACAATATCGACGAAACTTTCTGCACCGACAAAGGTATGGAGTAAGAAAACTTACTTATTTGTGTGCACAGAATAGAAATCTGTGCGTATTTGGGAAATCCGTGCATATTTGTCTGTAGTTGCGCATAAAATAAATATTCGTAAACTCTCGAATGAGTCCAGTCGTACATAAAATATACTGCGTGTATTTTATCCATCAGAATACGAATTGAAAAGTTACGACGCTAAGAATTACAATCATGAAATGAAAAATTACGCTTTCATCAGTATGAATACGAATTCACAGACGGGACTTTACTGTCAAAAATACACCATCACTTCACAGACATTATTTATCAAGCAGTAGAAACATCGATCAAGATCAAGACTGCGCATGCTTAAGTTTGTAGCAGAGGGTAAAAACGGAGTAATGGTACAACAAGGAGCTACAACAGCGACCAACAGGTGGGTTCATTCAAATTTATTGTAAAAATGTTCCGTTGCACAAATGAAATGAACCATCACACAAAAAGTTGGACTTCTGGACACGCTGAAGGAAGTTAGGCAGCTGTAGAGTGCCATTATGTAATAAATTAATCTTCGGTTCGTTACATAAAGAAGGAGGAAAATAACATAAGCAGTGATAAGTTTTAAGATGGATGCAAAAAGGGTTTTAACTGTCCTGTCTGAGAAAAGTGTATAAAGTGTGTTCTGAGGGGTTTTACAGCCTTAAAACAGAAATAATAATAAAGCTGACTACTTCATGGATTTCGCCTATTGCGGGTTATTTTTAGAACTGTAATTATACTTCCCGGTTGGACACTTTCAGCGGAAGTGACGTATGTAGAGGATAATTCCAAAAGTGTTACCTAACAACCATACAAGGGCCAAGGTTCAGCTCATCTAAGTTTCTATCTGACATTATCTGGCTTGCATTTGCACAAACTGAACTCTTATTTGGCCTGAATGAATCCACACCTTCTACTTATTTCCATGGAAATGTATTTTTACTTTCTATTTCTGTGGAATCTTGCCACCTCCGGAAAGTGACACACCTTTAACTGGGATGTG